GAATAGATAGTATCGATTAATTGATCGAAAATTCTATAAAAAACCATAATTTTGTAGTTAAACTCGTCAATTGTTTTTTTTTTCAGTAAAAATCGGCATATTGCAAGGGCACATTTTCGAAATAATTAAAGATTTGATTAATTTTGAATATTTTCAATCGAAATTTCTCTCAATTAATATGATTTAGTATTGAGATGAATTATTTCTCTGGTTGGTATATAAAATGATAGAGTAGTGATTTTATAATAATCTTTTTTTAAGACAGAATAAAATATTTTCTTTAAATACGAAAGAATTTTTTTTTCTTAATATATTTCACTGTTTTAATACTTTTTAAAATCTATTTTTTAGCAATAACAACAACTACTATGACAACATCGACAACTGTTAGTACATCAACATTGTTAACTACAACCGGTAAAATGATACTTTAATAATTAAAATTCATAAGAGATTTACAAAGCTAAATCACATAATTAATGGAAAAAAGCTTTTGTCGAAGGTTCCACAAATTATCTCCTGAAATCTTTGATATTTTCATTTATTCATGAGAATAGTTGAGTGAGAAATGTTCAACTGTCATTTGTTTTGTAGGAGAAGTATAATAGTTTACACTATAGAATAGTTGCTGCACTTAATTGCATAAAAGTATTCCTCACTTTTATTGTTAATTCCTTCTGCTTGATATAAAATGTAAAATGTTTTTATTTTTTTATTTTACCTGCTCCATCGTCTTATTGTATATCAAGTATTCCTGGTTCTTGATCAAATAATGTATTTCTTTATTCTAATTTACAAATTTATGCATTTGGCTTATCTAATTATCAATTAGGTGTTTATAGAGTAAATAGTACTACAAATGCAACTTCAATAGCTATTTAGACTGCTACTCAAAGTTCAACTGCTTCATGTACTTTTGCCTTATAAACAGATCGAAATTTGGTTGTTTATGGAACAGCTGGTGGAGTATTTTGGGCTGCTGGTGTTAATAATGGTGGTAGTGGACGTCCATATTGTTTAAGAATGTAGGATTCAGGAAATGTTCAATGGATTGATAATTCATCTACTATTGTTTGGTAAACAAACTCAGCACAAACTGGATAAGACTGTTTTTTTTCTATTTTCTAAAGAATTAATTGAATCATTTATCATTGAATATTTAATCAAAGTTAACAAATACAGGTTTTTTAATTATTTTATCTAAACGAAGGTTTTAAAACAAAATTAATTAATTATTTATTTTTAAACAAAAAATTATAAATAAATGTTTGTTAGTTAAAAAAATAGATCAAAAGATATTCAAGTTATATTGATATGTTTCACAGTATCATATGTTGAAAAATGATCATCATAGTATATAGAAACGACATCTTTAAAAGTGAAAAAAACTTATTCAACTTTTTGTTTAATTTTGTAGAGTGTTTAGAGACTCTAACTTTGTCAATGTCAATATCCCGCATCTACCGGGCGCGAGACTAGAAGAGATGGGACTTGAAATATGTCTCAGAGTCTAGACCAAAAGTAGAATCGGATCAAAAAATAGAACTCTGTACATGTTTATCCTTCTCTCATTGGCTGTTTCACACGCTTTCAAGGCTAATGAAACTTACAATTACATATATTGAGACTGAACTTTTCTGAATAACGTCGAGTACTTCTGCTAGTTTACAATAATTTTCTACGTTGAGAATTTGTGCATTTATGAAAGAAAAAATGAAATGATTGTATTAGATACTAATGGTGATTTGATAATATGACAGTAGTGTCAAACTTGAAAGTTGAATTCAAGTATTCAACTATTAACCTTTTAAATTATTTAAGATTCCAATTATCACTTGTTCTACTTCGTCTTCACTCTCACCCGTAACTATTTTAAGGATAAGAGTGAAGAGAATATCGAGGATATGAAACTTTTTCAATCATGGAAATTTTTCATTTTTCTTTTATCGAACCACTAGAGATCAGTGATTAATGTTCACCGTTTCATCTCTATGGTATTTTGCAAAAATTCGGCAAATTTCTTTGATTTGATTTTCTAATTTAGTAATCTTAGTTGCAGTATTTTCTGAAACATGTAAATGTACGATTAAAAATTTGCTTGTTCCTTATCGTTTAGGGTTGCTAATCATAATAAAACATGTGAATGCTGACGTTAAAAATGATCACCTATGTTTGAGTCTATTTTTCCTAGATATTTTTCTATCAATATCTAGTTTCATTACTTGTTGACTATGACTTTTATTCAAACATTAAAGTTCGTTTACACACGCCTCTTAAATCAACTAATGTTATATTATACTGATGTCACGTTTACTATAATATCAGCCATGTTACATGCACTTATTTTCAATTAATTATATTTTTTTTTTGTCATTGAGTCGATGTTATAGTATTTGTTTATCCAAGGACAGCTCGTACATGTATACGTATAAATGGTAGGTCTTTACCTTCATTTACATCATACAAGGATAACAACACAAAATGAGGACATTACACACAATTGATGTCGTAGAAGAATGATATATGGCTGGCTGATATACAAGGATATTATTCAAGGAGAAAGAAACGGCGTTTCATCTATTTTTAAAAAATTTGAAGTAGAAGATAAGTATGAAAGCCTCGCTTTTTTCTCCTTGACATTATCACGTAGTAATCACAGCATGCTTAATCACCATAATCAGTATATCCTAAGTTTTGAAAATACATCATTTTATACTTTTTTAACAGGTGTACTGTCGATTAGTATGTGAAGATGTATTTCAAGAGAGTTCCATAGATAATTACTAGTTGACAAAGCAACTAGTAGAAGTAAATTTTCAGCTTGAATTCTTCTGATGGATATGTCGACAATGATCAAGTAAGGGTTGCATTTTGAATTGATATTACTATAGATGTTTTAATATAAAATTTTGAAAAAATCGATACAGATAAATTTGACGTGTTATCAGCCTCTCTTTTTAACAAACTAATTACACTATTATCGATTTTCAAAAAAAAAAGAAGAAAAGTAGGTAGGATAGTTATAACTTTCTAACAAAAAGAGCTGGATAGATGTGAATAATTTCTCAAGTATTTTCGAAGTAAATTTGACGAAGCACAGCTGAAAAATAGACAACTCTATTAGAAAATAATCTTTTTTAGTAAAAAAAAATGACGTGTGTTTCTTACTTTGCTCCTCTAGAATTTATTTGTACATGAGTTCACATACCTCACTATCCTCTTTTGAATGCTGATAACTGTAGTATTCCAGCTTTTTTTGTTAAAAAATTATAAACATTCTACTGATTCAACTTCTTTTCTTTTAAAATGGATAATATTTCATAGAAAATTATTCATAAAGATTCTAGTTAGATGTTATTATTTCATGAAAGGCATATAATGTTCTTTCAAAATGATTAAAGATAAATTGTATTCTTGCAAAACTATGGACATATTAGAAACAAAAAAGAAAACGCCCCTTACTGTTTTCTAGGAATATTGAATTGGCATTAACATTCGAAAAAATTGTAAAACGTGCATAGTAGAATTCAAAATTTGCTCTCATGGATTAGCATTATTATTAAAGAATAATTGAAAGAATTTTTAATAAATATTAATAATGAAGTAGTACAGTCTATGAAAATAAAACGTAAAGTTTGCAATGTCCAACTAATAAAAAAAAAATAATATGGTCTGTTTCGATGAAATTTCTTTAGTCGTAACAGTATTATCGAGTCAATCTATGAACACAAAAAAATTTTTGTTCATTAATCACGACATATTTTGAATCTGTTAAATAAACCTTTTTTTAATTTTTTTTTAAAATAAACAAAATATAATTTAAAAGTGAAGCTATGTTAATCAATTAGTTTTTTTAAAATTTTTTCCTGTCTCAATAAATGAATGTTGTTGCAGATCGTAGATATATTATTTCATGACTCATAGTAGAAACATTTGTTGACAGAAAATAAAAATATAACTATTTCTGCTCAAACGAAAAGAAAGAAAAGAAGAGACGACATTTTTATGATTCAATCCAAAGTATGAAGCAATAAACTCTAGTGACTATCTATTCCGTTCATATATAGGTTCTGCTTTTTTTTTCTTCGATTTTCAAAGGTAACCAAAGTAAATTTTTATTTTATATTAATGAATATATATATATAGTGGTGGCCAAAATTATAGGAAAAGACCGTTTTTTAGTGTTTTTTTAGTTTTTTCATATATGTTTTTTCGAGTGATGACGACTTGTATGTCTTAACATATGTATTTCAGTGTGATCTTTCCGATGGTGTAGTCAGATTTGGTCGTTTCCGATTTCAAGTTTCAGAAAATGGAAATTTATTGGAAATCACGTTTTTAAAAATCAATGGAAAAAACGTTGGTCAGACTCAGTGTTTTGGCTCCTACAACAAAATTATAGATGAGCGCACATTTTACATACCTACATCAGATAGAGGACAATTTTTGCTACAAAATAAAGTGTTCCCGAGTTCTAACGAATATTTTATTGAAAAATTGATAACATTTTTACGTTAAAAAGAAAAAAAATCGCGATTTTTAAGCCAAATTTGACATAAAAAATGCTCTTTGCTTTTAAAATATTATCACTTTTTCAATAAAATATTTGTCAGAACTCAGGAATACTTTATTTTGTAGCAAAAATTGTCCTCTATCTGATGTAGGCATGTAAAATGTGCGCTCATCTATATTTTTGTTGTAGGAGCCAAAACACTGAGCATGACCAACGTTTTTTCCCATTGATTTTTAAAAACGTGATTTCCAATAAATTTCTATTTTCTGAAACTTGAAATCGGAAACGACCAAATCTGACTACACCATCGGAAAGATCACACTGAAACGCATACGTTTAGACATGCAAGTCGTCATCACTCGAAAAAAAATATATGAAAAAACTAAAAAAACACTAAAAAACGGTCTTTTCTTATAATTTTGGCCACCATTGTATATATATATATATATATATATATATATATATCAATGAAATATTTTAAGATAGAATGCCTATAACAATGTCGTATGATTCAAATAGACAACGAAATCGTTTAAGAAAGGTTAATAAATATATTTGTATAGGAGCATCAGATGCACTTGGATATGGAACATCAAATCCATCAAAAGATGGTTGGGTTCCATTATTTTCATCTTTAATATCAGCTAAACAAGTAATTAATCTTGCTCAAGCTGGATCAACTTTGCATGAGGCTATGCGACAACAGTTACCAAAAGTATTTTATCATAGACCAGATATTATAACTATTTGGTTAGTTGTTAATGATTTTGGTGAACAAGTTAATCATATATCAATTTTGAATAGTTATAAAACAGACCTCGATTCAATGTTATTTCAATTACGAACTAAATTAGATAGAAATACCAGAATTCTTGTTGGAAATATTCCTGATTTATCTCAAGTTGATACGCTTAATTCATGTGGAATTCCAAAATTTCTTTTAAAATTTGTAATTAAACGATGGAATAATGCTATTAAACATATTGTTAAAAATAATCATTGTGATCTTGTGGATTTCTATTCTCATTGGAAAGAATTAGGTGAACATCCAGAATATATTTCATCTGATGGTTTTCATCCGTCAAAAGAAGGTTATCGAAAAATTGCACAACTTTTCTATCAACATTATTTAAAATAAATAATTTTATTTTCTCAGACTTAATTTTTAAGAATTTTTTATTTCATCTAATACAAAATGTATTTATCAAATAATGAACATAACTCTTTCAATCAATTGATAAACCCAATTGAATTTTTTTTCATAAATAAATTTAATAATTGATTCTTATATATTAACACAATCCAACGCTGTTGACAATATTTAAATACTAAAAATTTTAATTGACTCATGTAGTTTCGCAAATGAATAAATTTATTGATGTTGGTAGAATTTTATATCGAAATCACATGTTTTGTTCGTACTTTCATCTGTGAGTTAAATCTATTCGGTACGTCCAATAATGGTATTTATTTTGCTATTCTAACACTCAAAAAATTATGTTTCTTTTCACATAGAGCACTCCATTATGTATAAATGAACTAGACGGAATAGAGCAGTGACATAATCAAGGCGAAGGATAAAGACACATATATACCAGATAGGTAGTGAGAATTTCTCAACACAAAGGATAGGCATTGAAATAAAGACAGATCATTGATATAAAAAAAAGCCAAAGAATAACAGATATCATGTATGAGCAAGGTATCTATTAGCACAATCATCTTTTGAAGTATGCCAAAGAAGACTAATAAGACATTTCTTAGACACAGAGAATATGCGGGATGTATAACATGTTACTTACACAATGCTTGAATCGTAGGTCTAACAAATAAGAGTGCGACAGAATTAGCTATTGTGTTTAAAGATCACCATTAGAAATCAACCATCTAGTACATGTGGTAGAAGCACGTTCATGAACTTTATTTTGTTCCAATGAACCACCTTCGAGAAAACCGTATTTTAGATCTTCTCGAGCATCCTTTCGATAAAGTGATAGCAAAAAAAATCATCTGTTTGTGTTGAATCATTATTTTTCATCAACTGTTGTTTACCAACTATTCTCTCTACTATGCGCAACGATGATGGTAATGTTTCACTGATGGAGGGTGTGGATGTGGGGTGTGGGTGTGTGGTCTCTTCTTAACACTCACACCCATACCCGGATGTGATCATGGGAGAAGAATGGAATCGAATTGAAATATCTAGGAAATGGACTTGAATACCTTTTCAATAAATCTACTTGTTCAACTGTGTCTTTTTTCCTGTAAAATTCTCGTACCTTATTGTAAACCGGATGTTAATATGTATCAGTGAAGAACTTATCTATCTACAAGTGTCACTGTACGCTAAAACTGTTCTAAACATATAATAAAACAAAAATGTCTATGAAAACAAACAAAACGAAAGACATACCGACAAAAAAACATACCAAGTCGTCAAATTCTTAAACAAAAAAGGGAGAAAAAAAGGAAAAAAATTCTATGACAATATAAACAAAAAACGAAAAAAGAACGAATTTAAAAAAAAATGAGTCAACAAGTAATTTGGAGAAAAAAGATCTAACTCGTTCGCCTGTCTTAGGCACGTCGAAAGTGGCCTTATTGGCTCCAAAATATTTTTTCGAATTGTGAGTGCAGTTGTGATAAAAGTATTGCGGACTAGTTTTAATAGAATTAAGAATCAAAAAATAACAATAAGTATTCTTGACAAACAACAAATAATCTAAAAATTCAATACCAAACTTTTGTTTTATTTACATTTATGAGAGTTATATACATAGATTTAAATAATAAAAGTGAACATCAAAATTTCGAACCAGCTCGTCAATAACGAGATTCTTTTGTGGAGCAATACCATTATTTACATTTTCTTTTGATGAATTCCGATAATTGTTCTGCATGGTACTAAATATGTTATGTCCATTTTGAGGTAAATAACCATTTTCGGGAAAGAAAATAGCTAAGAGTGCAGTGGACAAGCAGATCAGTAGTGTATCGAAAACATAAAAGTAGACTTGATGAACAGATAGATAATCAGTGAAATCTTGAGCAAATTCGATTACATGATAGATCTGTCGAATCAACATGAGAAAACTACTTACATAGATCATCAGCACCGTCCGGAGTATAGCTGACTGTTGTAGTTTCACTTGACATAATAAACTGAATAGCAGTTAATCAGCGATTGACAGTAGTTTATAAACGAGTTCTCACTGTTTTTCAAATAAGTCCAAGACGCAATTAGCTAGAGACTTGCGATTTTCGTTAGTCAAAAGAGGAGATGGAGGGACATCTTTTTCTCTAATATTGTACAAGGTGAAAGTACTGTTAACTGTATCATTGCTGCAAAACTCTACAAAAAATGCAAGAAAACCGCGTGTCGTTCTGATGAAATTTTGTTCTTGATATATAGTTTTAATAGAGCGACTTCAGATCTATGGTTCAAGACATAACTCTGATGATAGTCGTTGGGTAAATGAACTCATCTGTTTTCTCACTCGAAAAATATATCTTTTTCTTGATTTTTAAGAAAATTTCCTTACTTTTTCTTAAAATTTCATCAAAGCCACACGCGGTTTTCTTGCGTTTTTTGCAGAAATGATGTATTTAACAGTACTTTCGCTTTGCACAATATTAGAGAAAAAGACGTCCCTTCATCTCCTCGTTTGATTAACGAAAACCGCAAGTCTCTAGCGGATTGCGCTTTTGAGTTATTTGCAAAACAGTGGAGCACACTATTTTTTCAAACGGATAGTATCTGCACTTTCTATATGTGCACGTTCTATTAAAAAAAGTGCGCGTCTATGACAACGAACTGAAGACATAAAAGAACGTTGTAAGGTGAGGACTATCGCTCGACTCGTTTTGTTTCTTTATTACTCATCTTGATATTTATAAAAACCTTATTAAACTTATTTTATTTCTTAACACTTAACTTACGCACATTACAAATATAAAGTGGATTTGTTCTACGACAATTCTTTCTTAACTAAGATAGAACAATAAATTATTTTCAAAATGGATACGAAATCCGTAAGTTATCAAACTAATTCTGCCAATGGTTATACCAATCCAATAATAGTGTTTCCACCAGAAAAAGATCCAAGTTGGTATAAAAAATCTGTTCACTCAAAAAAATTCAAATATATAAAAATAATTTTTTTTGTAATAATTCTAATTAATATGAATGTATGGGGTGGAATGTTATTATTCATATCAATAGGTGCAGCAAATAAAACAATGCCTGACGAACAAACACGAAAGATGTGGATGGAAATTGATTTTCAAATTATTAATGGATTGATTTCTGCAATTATTATCGGTCTTACTCCTTGGAGAATTCGTGATCTTTATCAACTTTATCAAACAAAATATCGAGATGAACTTCTTAGACGTCATAAATATACAAAGAATTTTATATGGATTCAAGTTATTATTTGGAGTTCAATCGTTAATTCTGTATTTCAAGTGGGTGTTGCTATTTGTACGTGGTCAACCAATATGGATAATAGACCTACACGGTTAGTTGGCATCTTGGGTGGTATTAGCCTTATTGCAGGTGTATTTGCTGCTTTGGCACAATTTATATTAGGAAGAAGAACAAAAAAGAAAGCAAAAATGGAGGAACAATCCACTAGCATTGTTTAAATTTATCTTTTGTATTATCGTAGTAAATCATATTTAAAATAAAAATCTCTTTATTATCGAAATTTATTTTTAATTAAAAAAAAAGTTAAAACAATTTTTAGATAATACATATTTTCTCTCTTTTCTAATTTTTAATTAATTATGTTCTTCGTCTTTACGTTCTAAACGAATAATAACTTATTTTCGTGTAATTACAAAACATGCTTCAAAATGAATCTTTAACTTTTAATTGTTCATTTGGATGTCTTCAAAGAACATGTGCCATGTGATAAAGTGCTGTACTTGTTGTTTAAAAACCAGCAACCACTAATTAACAAACAAAATTGAGAGAATCTTTATAATCATTTTCTCTTACTAAAAAGAAAAATAATGGCTGGAATTTCATGTGTGGGCAGTTTTCGAACGAGTGAAACTTCTTTGTCTATTTATTCATTTGTAGTATCGGTTGTATGACTATCCTAGAAGAGAAACACATGTAGAAGTAGCAAGGATTAGTGTTCGATTTATTTATAAGATTTTTTTCACAAAAAACAAAGCAAAAAATGATACTTTAATAAATTGTTCATTTGATGCAGATTGAACCATTAATTGGAATAAATTAGTTCGCTTTATTTGATTAACTTATTGATGTTTCTCAATGATCTGATATGGTTGATTAATTAATATATGAATGATTGAGATTATATTGTATATCTGTATCAATATCAAAACCACATGACCTTGTTTATATTCTTCAGACATTTTTTCCATATTCATTCCAATACTTCAATGAACAATTGGTGTCATTTGTCTCAATTTTGTTGATGAAAATGTTTGATTAATATTGAAATGTTGTCGCTTCCATCGAAGATTAGTAGCAGTAAGAATATATACATCTGTAGAATTTGGATCAGTCAGTGGAATATTACGACGAGAATGATTTTACAAAGATGTATTGTAAAACATTTGGATAAGATACAACTAAAATTGGTGTATACCCTTCGAAATAACCAAATATACGGCCATATCTTCTGGTCTATTCTTTAATAGTTAAAGATTGTTGTCTACCTTTGATAATATCAAGAAAATTGCCACAAAAAGAGACCTGGAGATGGTCCACAAATATTCAGTTTGTTGAAAAACGCATATGCCGATTGAATATGTCACAAATAAGCAACCATCAAAGCGATCAATGTAGATAATAGAATATTAGTGAGAAAAAGCATTTTTTAATCGAGTTTTAAAAAAAGCCAGATTTACTATTTTGTTGTTTCTTTTTACATGTCGACAAAGTACAAACCTTTTTCTTCTTTTGCTTCATTCTTGTGATGAGTCATTTATATCTCTATATTTGCCCATCCTCTATGAATCATTCTTACCATTGGTGTTATAAAAAATATCTTTCTGATGATTCATTCATATGGCCTCAGTCATTTTAGTTCGAGTTCGGGTCGAGTCATTTTAGTTCGAGTACGAATTTGGCTATCAATGCAGTTTTTTTACGGGTTAAAAGTTATTGTTATTAATAATAATACAATAATAAATAACCATTTTTTTCTAAAGCAAAATTTTCAAGTCGAGTCGCTGCGCTGATTTTGTTAGCCTATATTCAAGTTTTAGGAATTTATTTACTACTGTTATGACGTGAATTAACTCTTTGAGGATCAAATTTTTTTTCATCGCAAATTAGTTTCGCTATTATTTTCTTTTATATTATTTTTCTGAAGGTCCCATGATTGATATTTAGAATTATGCTGAAAACAGATGATGTCATGCTTCAAAAGGACGGCGAAGAACTCAAATCTCAAATCTTTCACACCTGAATAACGGGTGAGGCAGATATAATAGCCGCGTTTTATACATCAGTTTTTAGTCTATTGAGAGATTGTATTAAGCAAACAAATTTTACCAAAAGATGCAGCGTGAAAAGCTCTACAATTTACACACAACTGCTTTTTTTATAGTTGTACTTTTTGCTTTCAAAATGGGCAAAATTCTGAGCGGTCAAATTTCGACTATGTGAAAAAGATTATTTTTTTGATACAGACCAAATTCATTTTTTGTTATTTCATCTCTGCATCAACTGAAATGCTTTCTCAAAAGAAAAACAAATATACCAAAAGATGCAGCGTGACAAACTCTAAAATCTGTATAGGTCATAAAACGATGGAATAAGAAAATAGAAAAATTCTCGGTCGTGTTATCTTTTTACATAGTTGAATTCAATCGCTCAATATTTTGTCCATTTTGAAAGCAAAAAGTGCAACTATAAAAAAAAGCAGTTCTGTATAAATTGTAGAGCTTTTCACGCTGCATCTGTCGGTACAGTTTGTTTTCTTGATACGATGTATTAAGAAACTGAAAACTGATATATAAAACGCGGCCATTATATCTGCCTCACCCGATAATTAAATTTTTAGCTTCAAACTAATATAATTTCTCAAGTTAAGCAATCTATAAAAGACATAATCTTTTTAATCTCTCTTGCCTATTGATAAGCTTACCATGAACTGGTTGTACGATTAATTGTCGCTTTACCAAAAACGTGCTCTTACGTTTGAATATTTGCCAACTCGCATTTCAGAATCTGATAAGATATCTATCGAGAATCAATATACTTATGAATTACGAGAACATAAAAATTTTATTTCTCTCGAGCTTTCGTCTTTTGAATGTATTTTGGTAAAAACAATCACTTATTTAGGCTGCTGAAAACATACTTTAAAAATCCTTATGTTGATTATCAGTTTGCGTTTCTGGTTCTTTAAAAATAAGGTTTTCATAGATACTACATCATTAGGGATGACATATTTACTATTTACTTGCAACTAGTTCATATAGTATTTGATAATGTGATTATTGGTACGTAAGTAAATATAGTATCGCCTTTTAAAAAGTAAGTACTTCGTTTACTATATACAAGTAAATCTATGAATGTAGTAGTTATCATCTACAGCAAAGTCAAAGTAAAATGACACTTCTAATGAAGTAGATGTAGCGTATTTAATTATTTTACCTTTTTTTTATAAATAGATGAAGTAAAGCAAGTACTTTTATTTACTATTTATTTCTAACGTCTAAGTAGAGTATTTACTAGTCACAAGTAAATAAGTAAATAGTAAAAGGTGTGGGTGTGGGTATAAAGAAGAAAAACACCCACACTCACACCCACACCCACACCCACATCCACACCCACATCCACACCCACCCCCACACCCCACCACCCACACCCCACCACCCACACTCACACCCACCCACACCCTTTTTTTTAAATCGACGAAAAACGCCTTTTTCATAATTTTTGTGATGCTTATAACTTTTTACGAGAAGTTCGTAGAAAACTCGTTCACCCCTCATTTTGCTCAGAATTTTGTGCTCTTTAAGATGTCCCTGTTCAAAGATAGCTCTGGCAAAATCTTCTAGAACCTGAAAAATACCGTGTTCGGTTTTTTAGGAGCCTTGCCATCATTGTTCATCTGTGAAATCTTGCTATAAAGCGTATTGGATCGAAAACTCTATTGGCTATTAAAATCGCTATTTGGATTGGAACTACGTGCTTAACATTATGAAAAAACCAAAAAAATCGTTGTTTCTAAACTTTTTCCCATCACTTTATATCGTTCACATTAAATTTCTAGATTTTTCGATTATATCATCGAATGCTCAATTTTATCAAGTTCATGATGCTGTATCTGACCGATTCTGCAGTCAAATATTACCTCAAAAATACACCAGTACTAGACTATACATATTTGGAAGTAATAGAACACTAGAAATATTCACATAGGTATACAAAAGAATTGAAAGTAGATAAAAAATAATTTACCTATTCACTAACGAAAGGTAGCATTTACGAATAATCACATTTTCAAATAAATGTCGCGCTTCTTACGTCTGCTTTATTTCTATGGCACAAGGTAGATTAATTCTTTATTTCCCACAGCTGAATATTAAAGTCCGGAATCAAAACTCACTCAGGAACGACACCTTAATGACTTCTAATATACACAGAAGAAATTTGAATCGATTGTTTTAGCTTCAATATACTTAACAGTTAGAAATGTGATTAGAAGGAATTCGGGGATAAGTCGACTCATGTCCTCGAAATCGTCACACTTTGGACGATTAATCACGATTTCCCGTGAAAAATCGTCCAAAATCGCCAATTTTAGCGATTTTATTGCGATTTATCAACCCGATTAATCGTGAGATTAAATCGCGATAAAATCGTCGATTTTCACTTAAATCTTCGCATCACTAATATTATGGAAAACTGCATGATATCATTCATTTTTTCGTCTCGCTATATTAGCAACTACATTTTTCTTCGTGGTAAATCTCTTTGGTTGTCTTATTCCCTCTTTTTCTATAGATTATATTTGTTACCTTTCTATCCGGTTCTTTCTTTGAAACAAGAGACATGAAGAAAACGGAGTCGAGAAGGGCCCTGCAATGTCAGTCTGATGTCATCTACCTATTTCGTGAAAATCCTATCGTTTTTTATGAATATCGATTTTTTTTCAAATAGTGCAAAAAATCATCAATTTTGACGATATATCGCGATATAACCTCACGATTAATCGGCCGATTATTCGCGATAAAATCGTCGATTTTGCGGCGATTTTGAGGACATGGGGAGTAACACAAAATATATACGGTGCTGTTCAGAGTAGAGACGTCATACGAAAAAGAGAGATGTGCTTTGTTCAAGTTTGACTGTTGTTTAGAAATCTATCACAGATGGGTGTGAATATGAATATAGAAACACGCACAGTTCACACCCACCCACATCCACACCTACACCCATACCCTTTTCCTTTCATATATTGTCCTTCGATATTAAACTTCTGCCTACATTTTTCTTTCTACGTTTTCCTTTTCGCTGTTTTCGTCTTCTGCATTTTGCCTTTCGATATTTTTTCTACGTTTTTCTATTCAAAATTTTTCTTTTCTGTCTTTTCCGTCAATCCAGTCAAATCAGGATGATCCGAAATGAGAACTTTTTGATGACTGGTCAAAGCTTTTTCATGAAACCTATGTGTTTGGGAAAGTTCGCCAATATTGTCATAGATTGTACCGATGTTGTCGTATGTGGTAGCCAAGCGAAGATGATCTGGAGGCAGGGTTGTTTCATAAATTTTGTGTGCTTTATCGTGAAATTCAAGTGCTTTTGAATGTTCACCCATCTTATCATACACAAGTCCGATATTATTATAAAAAGCAGCTAAATCAGGATGGTTTGGTGGAAGGGCTTCTTCGTAGATTTCAAGTGCTTTCATGTAAAATTCTTCGGCTTTTTCTAACTCATCAAGCTTGGTATACACCACACCAATGTTATTGTAAGAAGCTGCTAAATTAGGGTGATTCAGTGGCAATGATTGTCTACGGATTTCAAGTGCCTTTTCGTACAAATCAAGTGTTTTTTGGAAATCACCTATGCTAAGATTCACGGAACCAACGTTGTTATATAAATCAGCCAAATTGGGATGATTTGATGGAAGCGCGGTACTCTCGATTTCATATGCTTTTTCATAATACGATAAAGCTTCTGTATATTGATGCATGTTCTTGTATGTCAGAGCAATATTACCATAACAAATAGCCAAGTTAGGATGGTTCGGAGATAAGCTTTTTTGGCAAATTTTAATGGCTTTTTCGTAAAATGCAAGCGCTTTGTTGTAATCACCTATTCTGTCAGATAACGAACCTAGGTTACAATAGGTATTAACCAAATCAGGATGATTCAGCGGAAGTGCTTTACAACAGATTTCAAGATCTTTTTCATAAAACGAAAATGCTGTCGTATAGTTGCCCATTTTATCATGGGCAGAGCCTATGCACTCATATGAAACAGCTAGTCGTGGATGATTTGGAGGCAGTGCCCTTTCGTAGATTCGATAACCTTTTTCATAAAATGAAAGTGCTTTTGAATAGTCGCCCATTATGTCATAAACTGCTCCAATGTTATTGTACGAGGCAGCCACGTCAGGATCATTTAGAGGGAGTACTTTTTCGACGATCACGAGACCTTTTTCGTAAAACGAAAGAGCTTTAGAATAGTCTCCTAGGCTTTCATATATCGAACCGATACTGTTGTAAGAGGTGGCTAGATCTGGATGATCCGGAGAGAGAGTTTTTTCTCTTATTTTGAGCGCGCTTTCGTAAAATTCAAGTGCTTTTGAATATTCGCCCATTTTATTATACACTAGACCAATGCTTCGGTAGAAAATAGCTAAATCAGGATGATCTGCCGGAAAGCTTTTTGTCTTGATTTCTATAGATTTTTCGTAAAATGAAACTGCTTCATTGTATTGTCCTTGGTCTTTCTTGACACATCCAAGCCCATGATACATATCTGCTCTGTTGCTGTCGTTGGATGTCTGTTCTAGTAATGCGGTGTACAATTCTTCGGCCTTGTTGAATTGACCTATTTTCAACAGTAATTTGCCTAATCCTTTCCAACCTGTTGAACCCGAAGCTTCTTGTCGTATTCGGTCAGTTAATTGTCGGAGTTGTTCGTCGCCATCTGATGTAAGTTTAAGGTCCACTTCATAGAGTGGACTTTCCTCATGAATCTTCCGAACATCGACAATACGAAAAACTGTGTGCATAGAGAAGAGTGTTTCCTTTTCGCCCTTGTAATAGCTCAACTCTTCGATGGAGGCAAAAGGTGTTGATGAAACTGTAGGATCTACGGTCATTTGAAAAAGAATGCCAACCATGTCTTTGTTTTTTGAGGTTTGTTCAGCAAATGCGAGAGACACGTCAAGGCTTGTACTTGTCGATAAAAAGTTATTGAAAGATATTAGTCCACCTTGATTACTTGTAAGCTTTTCACAATCAGCTGTTGACAATCCTTGACCTCGATATACGATAAATGACTGTTCCTGATAAAGATTGACCTGTTGCTTGTGAAGATCTTCAATTTGTTGGTGAACATCACGCAAGAAGAAGCCCATTCTAATGATGATATCACCATCCAATGTTCTTAATGCTTTGTTGAGCATTTTGTGCATGAAACACGGACGAGTATACCACGATATGGCTTTTGATGGCTGATAACTACTTTCGAATTCTTCAATATCTTCTATTTCTTGTTCATCGTCTTGATATTGTTTACGGCAATATTCTGCCAAGTCTTGAATGGCTTGTTGCCCGTGTTCTATGCCAAAGAGTATTTCCTTGAATATTTGGGTGTACATAAAGGAAGGTTCTAGCTGATTAAGATCTTTGCTAGAACTAACTTCATTTTTGCCGATGATACTGACCGTCGTCTGATCTTGATTAGATTGTTTGAGGGTCAGTTTAAGTGCCCTGCACATCAGCTTGATTGACGTATATACACCTTTGATTTTCGCCCAATTTCTTGCCCATACTTCATGTCGTTCTTTGTTGCCACAAAAGATGTAAATGGCATTCAGTTGTTCTAAGTCATGAATATCTGGTACTAAAGATTGTCCGATTGTTCCAGAAGTGATAACGAATGCTGTGTTCTGGTTATTTTCAATGAGTTGTTGTATGCATTCTTCTGCTGTTTTGCAAAGCACCACGCCATTGACGATACTACGAAATTGCGCGAGTATTGTTTGACAGTTCTCGTCTGTTTTATCAATATTACTATCAACCCAGATGAGCACATAGTCCTGACTTCTGCACCGTCTTGCTCTGATGGCATTCGATGATCCTGTTATACTTGTAACAGTATTCAGCATTGATGTAGAAGTTCCAGGGCTGGAATTTTCTCTATATTCCTCCGCTCGCTCGTTTGTTCTGTTAGTTGGATTTGTGTCAATAAGTTGGTTCGCTTCTTCATTTGTACGCTCATAGATTTGCTCGCTACAAAACGCAAGAAAACAATTAGTGAGCATCGGAGTTACAGTGCAACAAGATCGGGTGGAAAAGCAAATCATTACTTCTGAATAGTAGCTATGGTGCAGATTGCAGTCAATCAGATGTTTTCGGGGTTCAACTCTCGATCAATAGGAATTATGTGAATCAAATTTTGATCCCTCCTCTTTTTTCTTGCTCTATCAATCGCTCAACGCTGAAAACAATTTAAGATTTTTCCCTAAATGGATTTTAGCCAACCGCGTGTTACTGTTATACAGATATTATTCGATGAGGTTTTTCGATACTTGAAATTCATTGAATCTGTTATTTTTTATCGAACTATCATGTAGTTAGTTTATTAGATTTTGGTTTTAAGAAAGCAGGTGTTAAGAGACTGAAACTTTTATGTCTAATATGTTTTTTACATCTAGTTTCTCACCCAGTGAGGTTTCGTGAGATAAAAACTCAAACAGTATAATTTTTCAAGTGTTTTGCCTTCATCTGGTCAAATTTCTTTCACTGGATATTCATGTATCAATTATCGTTTCTTTCTATTTTTTTAGTGACAGCTGTTTTTGGTATACAGAATTTATCGTTCATCTCAGCATTTTCTATGATACGAATGTGAAGATAACAATATTGTCACTTGGAATTCTTGAGCAGTTAACTTTGTTCGTTAGGATTAGGGTGAAGGTGGATGTAGTGTGCCAGTGTAGTTTGTTCTGGTAGGTGTGAATGCGGATGTAGAAGTGTTCCTGTAGCTCGATACTATGTGGATGTTGGTGTGTGTACGGTTATGAGTGTGAGTATGATACGTAGATCTGCTATTCAGCCACATACCCACACCCAAATCCAGTTCTTATATGTGAATGGATTTAAATGAATTTGGCCGGATTCGATTAATATTTGGTTGAACGGAATCGTTTTTGGCCTAGATTCGTCTCGATTTAGCTTATGCTTGACCTATTTTAAACTGGATTTCATTCAATTTCAGCTGGATTTGCCTGTATCTTATCTAATGTCCACGTCAGAATTAAAGAGAAGCTGGTGTAAATTGAATAGCTTAATAACGGCAAGAGCTAGCGATCTGTAGTTTTCACTAATCGAAAGAGGAGACTGAAGCACGTATTTTTCACGATATTGTTGCAGACAAAATTATTTTGGACACTCATTTCTAGAAATCATTTCTGAGAAGACCTGCAAATGGTATGCCAATACAATGAATTTTTGATTTTGATCTTTGATTTAGATAGAGAGACTTTAGATCTATAGTTCAAGATACAATGTAAATGGTTCTCTTACTACATTCCAACTTTGACCAAATGAAATCATGGATTTACATGCGCAAAAAATAAAGAATTTTGCTAATTTTTCACTAAGTTTTCGCACTTTTTATCATAATAGCTTGGCATTTCGATGAAAATGTGATGAAACGTAACAGTGCGTATTATACCTAAAAATATAGATCTGACGTCCCTCTATCTAAATCAAAGATCAAAATCAAAAATTCATTGTATTGGCATACCATTTGCAGGTCTTCTCAGAAATGATTTCTAGAAATGAGTGTCCAAAATAATTTTGTCTGCAACAATATCGTGAAAAAATACGTGCTCCGGTCTCCTCTCTCGATTAGTGAGAATCACAGGTCGGTAGTTCTTACCGTTATTGAGTTATTCAATTTACACCAATCCCTCTTTAATTCTGACGCGGACATTAGATTTAATTGACTTTTATTTAGCAGCTTAGTTAAATCCAACGCAAAAACTCGGTCAAATCTAGGTAGAACCAAATTGAATCCAGTACAATACATGTAATACCCGATTCCTGTCAGATCAAAATCCAACCACTGTCTACTTCTGAGAAATCTGAATCTAGAATTTCTGTTGAATCCAACAGGAATTGAATTCGGTGCACTCCTACTCACATCCGAACAACCACAGCTGCAGTTCCAGCCATAGTTAGGAGTATCAGTTCCAGTTTTCGTTCGCAGAAACTCGGAATTCAGTAAGGACTTCCACTATCGGAAACTCGGAACCCGTGCAGATTCCCACTTCTAGAAACTAGCTGTGGATTCTCTTTCCTTAGGAATGGAGAAATAAGAGTAAGAACCTTGACATCTCTAGTCATATCCATTTCCACACTCACATACATGTTTTCTTTCTTGAGCAGAGGTAAATACTCAGAACTTGTACACTTCTCGTTAAACGGATATCATTTATAATAAGAAAATACATATCTGTATATATCGTTATTTGAAAGCATATTTCTGTTTTTATCCAATGAAAGAAAAAAAAATGAACAAAAAAATGTTAGCAGCTGTTTAGATCTCCTCAGTGACACCCCGTGAGTTTTTATAAATTTAAAAATATTCTACGATTAAAACTGACCTTTTCTGTTCTTGCTGACATGGACTGGATGAAATGAATGTATGTATCATTCTCCATTCTTT